TGGAATCATGAGAATGTCGATTCTGAAGTTGCAGGTCGTTGGACTCGGGCTCGTTTGTACATATGACAGAATTAGGAGCAGGGCTACTCGTTATTCGCCTAGACGAACGCGGATGTGAAGCGGTAGCAAGCTTACTTGGTGGGAGGGCCTCCGTCGGAAGCGTTGGTCGTCCGCAAGTGTTGGGCAGACCAGCAGTTGGTAACGGTGAGACGGTACGTGATTCAGGACGGTTGGGAGGTTGTTGTCGTCGTTTGGTTAGACCGTCGACTTTCCGCAATAGATTCTGTAGCTGTTCTTCCAGATTAAGCAAGCGCACTTCTGAGCGAGCATTGTTGCTAGGCGGCTCAACGAATCGTGGTGACCGGGGCGACTGCGTCTGCGAATGCTTGTTACGCGGTGTGGAGGGCGGGTTAGTGGGAGACGAGATTACAGAACCAACCATAGGGCAAGTCGTTGAGGAAAGGTCGCAAGAAATATCCCGCACGTAGTTCGCAATTCTGGGAATGCAAACCGGGCAAATATACCGCAGGACCGTCTGTGGATGCGAGCGACAGAATTCGATGTCAGCTGCATGGAGCGAATTGTCACAAGGAGCGTGAACACGGTGAAGACAGATCGAGCTTCATCAGCGGACACACCAATGCATAGTTCACCAGACAACCGAAAAAAGCCGTCTGTCGGCACTCCAACTGCAACTGCGACCTACGCAGCCGTGGCCAGCGCTGGCGCCGCAAAACCACCCGGCTGGGTCCAGGCCCCTAAAAAGAAAAGTTGTAAGGCGGTAAACAACAACAAATCGAAATCACCGTCTACAGTGTCACAACTAAAGTCTGTGCTAAACAAGGTAACACGACTTGAGAAATTGCTAGCCGAGCAACCGGCCTTACCGAAACCGGTGAAGCCAAGCGATAGCAAGTCACCACGGGGACGGCTATGCAACGTCATGATTTTCCACGCACCTGAGTCGACTGATCCCAGTCCCCAGGTACGCTATGACCATGATGTGCAATTATTGCAGTCTCTAACCGACAAACTACTGGATGTTGGCGAACCCGGGTTACGAGTGAAACAAGTCACTCGTCTGGGGAAACAAGTTGATGGCAAGTGTCGGCCTCTGCGCATCGCGTTCGCCGACGAAACTGCCCCAAGGTTAGTACTGTCCCGCCTCGGTCGCCTAAAGGGGATGAAAATCCATGTCCGGCCAGACCTTGATCCCGCAGAACGAGAGCAGCTGAAGTCTGCCGTGATCGAACTGAAACGACGCACGGACGCCGGTGAAACTAACCTGCGTATCGTAAATTTTCGCACAGTTGCCCGGATACCCCGAATCTGGGTAAACAGAGCAATGACGCTTCAAGCTCGCCCAGCGGTTCCTGCCGCGGATTGCGTGTAGCGTTCATTAATGTATGCAGCTTAATGAACAAGCACGATGATCTGATCCGCTTCATTGCTTCACGTCGGCCAGATGTGGTTGGTTTGGCTGAGACGTGGTTGACATCTGAAGTGACAAGCGAAGAAATTGCGATCACGGACTATTCGTGCTTCCGCTGTGATCGACAGTCGAATAGCCGCGGTGGCGTCCTACTTTACCTCCGGTCTACCCTGTGCGGGAGACTCGTGAGCACCTACCGAAGCATTGACGGTCTATGTGAGCAGCTGTGGTGTTCGATCCACCTACGACGCGGCGAACTGCTTGTGGATGTGGCATATCGTAGCCCACTGAGTAACGGATTGGATTGGCTCATACACGTCCAAAACCAAATGAGTCGCCCGCAGTTCCTGCTCACTGGCGACTTTAACCTTCCTCGAATCTTATGGCCTGAAGTTCAGCTTCTCCCTGGCCATAATGAAGTGGAGACAAGATTCGACGAACTGGTACTGGAAACCGGAACGGTGCAGCACATCACGCAACCCACCCGCATAACCCCGCGCTCAATGCCATCATGCCTGGACCTGCTGCTAACCAGCTGCGAACAAACAGTGCATGACATAGAAGTTCTTGAGCCCATGGCGGCCAGTGATCACTGGACAATTATGGCCACTATAGACCTGCAGCTTCCATGTGTGCGTCCAGTGGCGCCAACATACAACTATTGGAAAGCTGACTTCGATGGCCTCATTCTAGCTGCCAATCAGCTTGATTGGTCTATGCCACAGGATTCATCCGTTGAAACTTGCTGGGCAAACATTAAAGGGGCAGTGCACTCATTGTGTGCGCAATTTGTACCCCTCAAGACTCAGAAAGTTGGACCAATGAAACCCCATTGGTTTGACAAAGAGTATAACCGAATGTCTCGACAACGGCGTCGGCTATGGAATGCGTTCCTCCTGTCTGGCTCTGCCGATGACTATGAGGCATACAAGCGACAACGAAACTTGTGTAACAGCACAAAGAGGCGAAAACGCCGTCAGTTTGAGGAGCAGCTTGCTTGCTCAGCTAAAACTGCCCTGAAGCGCATATTTGCGTACGTGAAGCGACGCCTGAAGTCTGCAGGTAATGTGCCGGTGCTAGTGGGTTCGAACGGACAACCACTAAGTTCAAGCACCGAGCGTGCGTCCGCATTAGCGGCGCACTTCGCTTCTGTATTCGCAACTAACCAAACCTGCGCGCCAAGCTCTGCCGTCGCCGCACCGACTGAGCTAACCGACTTGATCTGCGACGTCGCGGAGGTACATGGGCTAGTCAGCTGCCTAGACAGCACGAAGCCAGCTGGACCGGATGGTCTCCATTGGCTGATCCTCAAGTCCTTGTCAGCTGTGATCTCACCTGCTGTAACCGACCTGTTCAACCGATCCCTGTCCATAGGCTGCGTGCCTTGTGACTGGAAATGCGCCGTTGTCAAACCGATTCCAAAAGGCGGTGACACACGCAAAGTGGAGAATTACCGCCCTATTTGTTTGACCGCAGTATTGTCGAAAGTTCTGGAGAAGATTGTGAAGAAGAGACTGCTCCAGCTACTGGAGACCAACTCTCTCCTGACGCCTGCACAGCATGGTTTCGTGAGAGGCCGCTCGTGCATCACTAACCTGCTGCTAACATGGCATGAATGGTTGCAAGCAGTAAACCAACGTAAGTCAGTCGACGTGGTATACGTCGATTTCAGTAAGGCCTTCGACAGAGTGAATCACGAGATCCTCCTTCAGAAACTGAGGAAGTGCGGAGTCGGAGGCTCGCTGCACCAATGGATCCGTGACTTCTTAGTTGGACGGAAGTGGAGGGTGCAAGTCGACAGCCACCTGACCGACTGGTACCCGTCGACGAGCGGCGTTCCTCAGGGGACGGTGCTTGGCCCCATTCTCTTCCTGATTCACATCAACGACGTGCCCAATCTCCTTCGGTCGCCGTGTGCCTTGTTCGCGGATGACCTGAAGCTATGGAGGGTGATCCATACGTCGGACGACTTTGACATACTTCAGCAGGACCTCGACCGCCTCTCCATGTGGTCCGCCGAAGTAAGTTTGCCTATCAACTCGGCAAAATCGCTACTTCTGTGCCTCGGTAATGGTGGAGCGGGCCGATCGTACACTCTCGACGGCCAAGTTCTACACCCGACGCATTGCGTCAGAGACCTTGGCGTTATACAACGTTACGACATGAAGTCACTGGACAACACGGACAATATGTATCGCACAGCATTGCGTTCGCTGTGGGCGCTGAAACGTAGCTTCTGCACCTGGTCGAAAGAGATTGCCACTCGTCTCTTCACATCCATTGTACGACCGGTGCTAGAATACGGCTCACCCGCCTACTGTCCGTTGACGAAAGGCGAGATACACAAGCTCGAAAGAGTACAACACATAGCCACACGGCTCATTCCCGGTCTTCAGGGTGTGCCGTATGAAGAAAGATGCAGACAATTGGGTCGGTATACTCTAGCCTACCGCCGCGTGCGAGTGGACCTCATCATGACCCATCGGGTATTGCATCTGGGTGCTTATCCGATGCTGAGGCCACTGCTCCATGTCCGTGCGTCAAGCAGCACACGAGGTCACCAGTACAAACTGGTAGTCCCTGACCTCAAGTGGGTAGCTCATCCCTTGTGTCTTGAGCGGCGAGTGGTGAATATGTGGAACCGTTTGCCCTCGCGGATGGTAGAAGCGAACTCGGTGTCGGAATTCAAACGATTCCTGGACGCGCACTTTGCGGATGCCAGATTCGACGAAGCCTTCACAGGAAACTGACGAAGGAATCGTTCAATGATTATAACCCATGGAGCCCGTAATCCACCAACTGCAGCTTCCGAAACGATGCCCATCCGTAATAGGTGGCGGAGCTGGTGAAGGACTCCATGTGGTTCATCCAAGAATATATCGTAAGTACATGGAGATTTCTTCTATGCTCGTAAATATTTTACTTTTTTCACCTGGGCTAGCTCACTACTACAGGTAACACTGTGTCAGTGGGACATGTCCTACATTGAGATATAGCTACATAGATGTTCAACATCTCTCTCGCTATCATGACAGTAAAGTAAAGTAAAGTAAAGAGCAGGTGATGGCTTTGGAACGAGGTCCTATACGCTGAGTGCAGATAAAGCAGGTGTTCAGTAGCCGCATTGGCGCAGTGGGCGAGACCGAAATGATCGGCATGGGCAAACAGATGACGTACAAATAAACCTAGTGGACTTCCTGTCTCAAGAGAACAGAATGAGAGAGATCTGTCATCCGCAGCCACTGGGCTTTACTTTATCGGTAATTAGCGACCTTATTTATTCAGAAAATTTAACAATCCAGATGAATCTGAATAAGGAAGAGGGTACATATAGGATAAAATCGTATATCACTTTAAAAATTAGTAACAGGCTGCCGGAAACCGGACATGTTAACAATTTCAGGTTGTATATTAACATGCAGCTAACATACATAGAGCCATAAACCAAAGAAGTGTTAGGTGTGCAAATAAGAGTAAATAAGTAAGAAAAGTTTATTGCATCATGCTTGTAAAGAAAAACACATAAGTAACAATTGTCAAGAGCGGAAAAGCGACAGAGAGAACCTACGCGGACAGCCGTACCAGCAGAGTAGGACGAGGAAGCAACTAGTGACTGCATGTAGATACTCAAGATGAATTGCTTGTAGTAAAAATCTTACATAAGAAGTGGCCAACGTTTGCCCAAAGTATTTAGCCTGTTTGTTCATTGTTTTTTATTAACTACGCAAGCTCCTATTTTCAGTCGGTTAGCAAGCATTTCTTCCTATTATTCCTAGCATTTCAGTTTATTTTAAATCCTACTGGCATTACCTGCTTCAGAAATGCGAATGGCATAAAAATGGAGGTATGATAGTGAAACCGCAACCCGCCTCTCTGTTAGGACATATCTCCCGGGAAACATTGGCGGACTACCTAAAGTCCCGGTCATTGGCGGTTACCAAAATGGATAAAACAAGGTATTTCAAAATTCGTGGCAATACAATAGCAAACTATTTGTTGTAACATAATAAAGTAATACTAATAAAGCAAAGCAGGAAGATGGTTGATAGAACAGGTACTATCGACTCCTGTAAATATTCAAGTTCAAGTTCAAGTGGGACTGGAACGATAGGATGAATCCCGTAAGCGTTCCTTCTTGAGCAAGTCGTCGATCCAGGGGGTTGATTGGGGTGCTCCGACTTCTTGATGGGTCTAAAACGAAATCACCCGAAAAACACCCTGGTCCACCTATTCAATGCCCACGTTCCTTACATTAGCTGTCCCAGCTCCCTGGTAGCACATGTCCAGGTCCTGTCCAGTTCAGCATCCTAAACGTTCCTATGAGAGCATTAGGCTAATCTGGACAGGAAGTATTACCGTGAGACGGCTAAAGAGCGTTCCTGTCCAGTTTACGTTGGACCAATGAAGATGATGCTAACGTTGACCAATAGAAATTCACCAATATGCGTGACAATCAGGCTGGTCCAGATCCCGTCATTGCCTCCCATGGGTATCCGAATACAGACAACACACTTGAACGCACTATGCGCCTAACGAATATATGGACGACTCGGACCTAGTGTTCACCCGGTACCAGTTGCGGTAGTTTCTGGACTTGGGAACCCACCTAGGCGGCGACTCAAAGCTGTTGGTCAGAAAAAGAAACCGCTCTTTCCGCGCACCTGACATCACAAGGCGAAAGAAAATTAAAACCGAGGTATAGGAATGCTATATATACATGAAGGGGTGCAGTACAAAGAACGCTAGTAGCAGAAAGCTGCATAGTCAATATTCTTAATCTGCTTCCGCGAGTGTCAACGTAGGAGGCTAAAGATGTGCCTAAGGAAGCAGGGGACTCACCTCATTCGCACTGCATACTTTAGGTTGCTCAACCGGCGGTCTTTTGTGCCGTGCAGAATGCAACCACGTTTTGATGTGCCGTGTAATGTCAGCATCCGAGGCTGCATCACCCATGCGTTGCCGAATGAGGCCTTGGTAGTTTTATGGATTACTGCATTTCAACCTACCTTGTACAAGGCCGTTCATATTTGTTCGTCTGAATGCAAAGGAGCCTCTAGCGCCGGAGTAATTTATCTCCGCGGCAACTGATCTTGTCATTAGCCGCTCCATGGTACCCCGGACGATGAGTTGTATGTTATCACCGTGCACAGCACATAAATGGTTGACCTAAAGTATTTGAATAATAAGACGAACTTACGACTCTGATTTTGAAATCCGGGTCCTTCAGCCGTTCATCATATCTCTTTAGCTCACTGAGAGAGATAAAATGGCAGAGATAGTCCTGGCGCAACACTTTGGGATTGTCGTTGTAGCATTTGCAACATCGCTTCGGACATGCAGCAATGGCCGACCAATTCTGATCGAATGAGACACAACTCATCTAAAAATAAGGCTGAGTGCAATGCAATACATCTGTGGCGTCTTACATTTTATGGCCTGCAGTTCGTGCAGCACATCCAGATTGCTTGGTGGGACGTCAGCAATAACCGGTGGCGCGATTACTGTTTAATAGGGGCAGTATGAAATCGATACTTACGGTTGCTTGTTGATGGTCCTGGACGTGACGGACTAATGCCACTGAACAGAGAGGAGGGCGCACGTGCGTAGGTTGCTGCAGAAGGCCTTTTGGGTTTGCTTGGACGCGCGGCATCCTCGTCACCGGAGCTCGAACGGACGGGCCGGCGTCTAAGGGGAAATAAAAACACAATACTCACAATGCACGCTTAGCTGGAAGGCCCATGGGAATTGTATCGTCTGTCGATGGCAGCATCCCGCGCTCAGATTGCCGTTCCATTTCTCGGGCATGTTGGAAGCTAACTAACGAGGTGGGTTAATATAAGAGAAATACTTACTAGTGCTAACGATTATGGACACGGCAGTGCTAACCACATCGACATCCGGCGCAGTGTGATTTTTCACCGCTGCATAGTAGTGCGTACCTCGCACTGAAGGTATTTGAGCGTACGAACCCTCTTCTCTAAGCCAAGTGTTACTGACAATAGTTATTAAATCCTCGGAGTCAAGGAGTTTGACAACGCTGTATCCTTGAAAAGCCATCATTGCTGAAAAAGAAAGACGTTAGTAGTTAAAGTGTATAACTGTGTGGCATAGGGTAAATTACAAGAAAATCGTTTAAGGGTAAAGCAATGCACTTAAAGAGAATATGACAGACAGAGAAGGTACATACCTCAGTTGACAACTGCGATGCACGGAAGATGTACGCCGTTGAGGAATCCATGCTATGCGTGAACAGACTACGAAGATTCATAAATTCCCGGCATTGCACGACAATGTTCCCGGACACATTCACAGACACATCTGTCAGTACTCTGGGTTTGGCATCGATGATGACCACGTTATCCGGCTTCACAGTGGAAAACAAAATGCTGTGCAAACAAAACGCCTTCTGACCCTTATATATGCACATCTCTACATTCCCAACGGTGCTTGCGTTGCTGGAAGTAGGAGGAAGCTCTTCCTCTTCTGACGTACGCCGCATGATTTGAGCAACCGGACGCGGAGAATTGTGAATAATGCGCTTGATGGAAAACACGTGAGACTCGAAGGGAAATGCTGAGAAGCTTTCTAGAGTCCCCATCTTTCGTACGTCAGCGGGAAGATGAACAAGTGAGTGTACGTTCCACGTCATCTCACTGTGACCATAAAGATCAAAGTAATCATGTAAAAATACATGAATTAAAGGAACAAGGAAAGCAAATAAGGCAATGTGAAGGTGAGGGTGGCACATGATATAAATAGCGAATGAGAGATCTAGAAAGTTTTGATAGAAAGCGTCAGGCAATACCCCAATTAAACAAGCTGGTCCGGCGTATAGCAAAAACTGACGCAACTCAGTTGCCTTCCGAGATCGGTATTCATCTAGTGATCAAAGCTTACGTGGAAAGTCCGATGTCCAGGAAGGCCCGAACTCATGCAACCGTTCGTTTGCTAAAATCAATCGCTCTCTGCGCAGTCGAAATCCACTCCACGGGCGAAGTAAGCCAGTTTTTATCATTCTGCGCATAACACCCAAACATACTGAATGCATATAGTCAATTAGGAAGTCCTCAACCAAATCGACATTCAAAGCAGCAAAAGGCGAAGGTTGGCTATCATTCCTTCGAACGGATGCATTAGTCCGTAGTCTGCTATCAGTAAGTGGGTACGTTACCTTGCGGCTCATATACTCACCACGTTGGGTGCATTTGTCACAGCTGTAATAACCCGAATGTTCTTTTTTTCTTTGCACATACGCACGTGCAGGTGTATCACAGGTAACGGCTTTAAGCTTGAATAATCCTTGACGTTGCAAAGTACGAATCTCATTAATTGTGTCGTACAAGTAATCGTCCACGTCGTTCGGCTTCGAGGCCCCAAGATAAACACCAACAATGAATAGCTTCGTGATCACTGGCTTTATGACACGGCACAAGATTGGCCATACATGCACCTTGGATGCATTAAAAGGTTTAAACCCGTCGATATGCAACTGTTAGTCAACAGTGTCATCAGCGGCGAGCGAAATAGCAGAGCATGCACGCTGTAAACCTCTCAGCAGACCTACGTGACCGTAAGTTCCCGGTGAAACAACGCGAATGCGGGAGGTCCGTGGGGTGCGCATCAACGTCCGGTAATCCCTTGGCAAAAATGGCATCCACGGCTGCACAAGGCACAACAGTGGACGAACAAAAGACGCAGGTACTTGAGATTTTGCGATCAATTTTCTCAAGTTATGTACCAATCCATCGGGGTCCCTGTCATCTTCACTGCGGTTGATAACGTGTGCAGGTGGCTGAACTGTGTAAGCAATCATATTTAAGATATGTTAAAGATGCTCTTACCCTTCTGTCGTTTAGCTTCTGACAACAGAAGCACCTCTTCGTAGCTGAATCCTGAGTTCATTCTTTTCGCTGTACGGTAAATGGTGCTACGAGACGGAAACTGTGCAGTTAATTGATAACTTCGTCGACGTGACATGCTGAAAAGGAACACCTACGTATCAAACAATGTTTAACCGAAATACCTGATAGGTACACCTGCGGAAACGCAGTTTCAAGGAAGCTAGACAATAGCGCAGAACGAAGCAGTATCAGCGACCAAGGTTACGAAACCGAAAACGGCCAAATAAAAAGACCTGCAGACGCATTTAAACCGCTGGGGTTATGGTCAAATAATAGCAAATATAATGCATATCAACTATTAATTTATTAACAAATGTCAAACTAAATGCATTTAGCTGCAAGTAATGCATTAATACCTGAAGTGGACACCTGTCCAGTTTATGTCCAGGTTGCTACGTTTTGTGTTACGTTTGTGCTACCAGGGCTGTCACTTACGTGAAGTAAGACAGGAAGAGGAATCGAAGGTAGGAGAGTAGGGGAAATCAGTTAAACGAAGGGAATAATACCAATGGCGAGGAAAAGTAAAGAAAATAGAAGCGAAGTATGAAGATGGGAATTAGTCAGGAAAACGAAAAGGTTTCGTGTTGCCACCCAAGAGCATATAGTTGACGCTCAACCCCCTTAACCGTAGCTGCTTTGACGACATTTCCTGGAAGCAGGTTCCAGCGCTCGATGACTCGACGCGATTAGCGTGTCTCTGCTCTAACTCGATCGGACCGCGGTTTGTTCAGCTTCATACAATGCCCGCGGAGACCAGATAATCTAGCAGGACTAAATAGCATGGATAAATCAGGGCCAACCTTCCCAGTCAAAATACGGTAGGTTAGGAGTAGGTCCCCTCTAATTCCTCGATAGTGCATGGACTGCATCCCCAAACTAAGTAGGCGTTCGGGGTACGTTTGCCCTCGCATTCCCTTGACCAACCTAGTACCGACACGCAACACCCTTTCTAGTGCCATTTTGTCCCAGACAAGGCATGGTGGACAGGCCTGGACGCAGTATTCTAGGTGGGGTCGCACAAACGCTGAGCAAAGCTTGACAAACACATCAGCGGTTAGGGTCCCAAAAGAACGACGGATAGACCACAACATCCGGGAGCCTTTACTAGCCGCCTTCTTTCAGTTGTCTCCAGAGTATAATGTGGAACAATGGACGACACCTAGATCAACCTGATGAGTCACTTGAGGAAGTACAGTCCCATCGAGCACATAACTTGTGGAGGAATCAGACGCTTCGATACGCAGCACTGAACACTTTGTCCGGTTTATAGGCAGCAACCACAAGACAGACAAAGCTCAGAATCTATCCAGAGCCCGTTGAAGAGCCATAGGACCTCCAGGGATATCAACAATATTCCAGAGCTTTAGGTCATCTGCAAATAAAAGCGATGGCACCTCAAGCTCCTCCGGCAAGTCATTCACGTAGACTGAGAACAGCAGCGGACCTAGGACAGAGCCTTGCGGAACGCCGCTAAGTACAGCCTGTCGAATCGATAGACCGCTTCCCACACGGATACACTGTTCCCATCCATCCAGAAAAGCTGACACCCACTGGAGAGTGCGACCAGCTATTCCATACGACTTCAACTTCAGTGAGAGTCGCGAATGGGGGACAGTGTCAAAGGCCTTGGAGAAGTCAATGAACACCACATCCACCGCATGTCCACTGTCTACGGCTTCAGGCCAGCACTCACGAGCTACCAGCAAGTTCGTCTGACACGAAAATCCTTTGCGAAAAACCATGTTGCTCGACGCTAAGCAGGTTAAACCTATTTAAATGGTTCTCCACTGTATCTCGTACTAATTTTTCAAGTAACTTAACGACCACGCTAGTCAAGCTGACAGGCCTGTAATTAGCCGGTAGGTCTTTGTCACCGCACTTGAAAATCGGGCAGACAACAGCCTCCTTCCATTCGGTAGGCAAGATACAGCTGTTGAGTGACTTTTGAAACACACAAGTCAGAGGTTCACTGAGTTCCCCCGCCAATTCGTGCAACAATTTTGGATGAACAAAATCTGGCCCAGAAGTCTTAGCTGGTTTCACCTCTTTTAGCAACCGGAGAACTTTGGACTTCGTTGCAGGAATTTCATCCAGACAACAGTCCTCAGGGACTCTTGGAGCTAACTCCTTACATGGCGTATTTGTCTCGCGGATCAAGACGCTTGAGTACTGCTTACCAAGCACGCATGCCTTGTCATAGTCGCTATAGGCATGGGTCCCAACTCCTCGAAGCAATGGTGGAATGGGCGAGTTTGCACCACAGCGTCGTTTAACGTAAGCGAAGAATTCCTTGGGATTTTTCGAAGCAGTATTAGCTAAGCCCTTTTCCTAATGAAGCCGGGCCAACCTAAGATGTAGCTTGCACTCATTTCGAACCAACCGATACTTGTCAAACGTGCTGTTCGACGGAGCCGTTCGGTAAGCTCGCCAGCATCTAGACCGCTTCTTTAGCAGGCCCTTCCCCGCGGAATCTATCCACGGAGGTTGCGCTCTCGGTTCCCTTCTTTTTACCAGTGGGATGTGAGGTGCAGAAAGGTCTACGAGGTGAGCCTTAAGTCTCTCCCAGGCTATGTGAACAGTATCGGTCTCAGATATCACACAAGGCGATGACCTAGCTTTATCCCGCATCGGTTGGAAGTCCGCGGCCCAAATGTTCGGATACCAACGTGTAGCACCTTGCCAAGGCATGATAAGGGTACACTGGAAAGACAAGCAAACGTGATCGCTAGCGCCAAGAGGCGAGTCGTATTTATTGTCATTTACAAAGTCAAGTAACTTAGCATAAACAAGATATAAAATGGACGGCTGCTGATTGCTCATGTACCTAGTGGGGAGTTCCACGAACTGGTGTAGTGGTACCCGCAGCGTTAAGTCCAGCAGTTCTGTACCGAACGATTCCAGAGCCGAACTGCAAGATAGATCATCCCAACAGACCTCTGGGAGGTTGAAGTCTCCCAGCACCAGACACTTGTTCGCAGAGTGAGTGCGTATAAAAGCTATGCTTCCATTTGATGTGCTCATAGGGCTTCTATACACTAACACGACCGTAACCTGAACCGATGAAGCGCAAATCAATAATGCGAGTGCCTGAACAGATTTGTCTAGAGACTGAAAAACGCTGGTCTTCAATACGTCGATGTGATAACTCACATAAACAGCTACACTACCCCCTTGACGGTCATTGGAGCGGTCAGCGCAGAACAATGCCTAGCCAGGCAGACATCGCCGTCTGTGATTTACTCAGACAGCCACGTTTCAGTGAAAGCAAGTATATCTGGACGAGATTTGTCTACGAGCAGACCCACCTCGCACATCTTGTTCCTCAGGCTACGCACGTTACTAAGTACTACTTGGAGGGCTTCGGCACGACCAGCCCTGGGTCGTGTGCAAGTAGTATAGATTCTGGCAGAGCGGAAAAGGACCGCCGGCTGACCACCTGAAAACCCACCAATCAGAGACCTTGCTCGCCAGCTGCAC